GTTTACCCAAAAGTCAAACCTTGATCAACTCTTCCAACTTAAAGCTTCTAAAACGAGAATCATCCTTCCAAATCAATCCCGAACCGCTTGAAAACTGAAACCAACCATACGTGCAAGTCATAATACGTAATATGAAGCTGCTCAAAGTATCAAACCACCGAATGGAACGCTAAAGCCCAAAACGACTTATCGGGTCGTTACACTATAATAGAGTAAATAGGAAAGAAGTGGGAGGTTCCAACGTTATTGAATATATTTGATAGAAATATTTAATCCACTGATGCTGTCTCAGTTGGTTTAGGTACAGGCTTTGGGGAAGGAGTCGACGGATCAAGCTTGCGCAAAATCTTAAAAAATAAATTCTTGTAAATCAAACGGGTTGGAACCCTTGATGTTTCAAAAAGAAACAGCGGCGTATTATCATCGAGCCAACAGAGATCTATCGTTAAATGGTGTCATTTCTTCAATTTATCCGTAGTTTTTGTTGAATATTATCTACATACATATAACTGAAAAAATTATCGACGAAACAGTGCCAGATGGCACTGCTTTGATCAACATGCCTCCGCCCCTGTTATTAAGTAGTTGTACTGTGAAAAAACCATGGCTACGAAGTTGAATCTTTATTTTTCTTAAACGTATTACTTGCTTTCCAAATAATTTCTCAAGAACATACCCGAAAAGTATATTTCTAGCATACATTATTAGAAAAGACGCATAGTTATTGAGATATGAGACATAAAATATTACAAAGAAAAAGTAATTTTAAAAATAAAATATCTTACACAAGTAATACATCTGTAAATAAAATCCGTAAATATATAATAACCATACATATATATAATCTCGACAAGACGAGATTAATTTATCTTTATTCCTGAATTGGATGTCATTACCTGACATACATCATTATTCGTACAACATACAATAACGGAAAGAGGAAAAGAGGAAGGAAACATAGCAATTATAGGATATCATAAATGTGTTACATGGTTTTGGAGCAGGTTGTTGCAATTGGACAATAGTGTTCTCTTTATATTCCAGTCCTGATACCACATTGGAACGTGTTGAATGTCGCGTAATTACAATGACAACAAATTATGCAGTCACTGCAGTCATTGTCGAATTTGCAAGACCTAAAACAAGTATTAAGTTGAGGGAGTAATCTCCTTTCCATTTCTGGGAGATCATAATCAATATCCCGTGCAGCCATTACTTGCATCTTGGAGAAATATATCAAATTAACTGAAACATATCACCATTATAGTTATCAACATTCAATAATAACTTGTTGAATAATATAAAAAAAATTTATACTTCATAAACAAATACACATATGTACATTATAACATTGCAAAAATTATACTCCTTCCGTTCAATTTATGTGAACCTACTTGATTGAGCATGTAGTTTAAGAAAAAAGAGAACTTTTGAAATTGTAGTATAAAATGAGACACGTATATTTTGTGTGTCAATAAATCGTTGCATAAAGGTAAATTATTTTCAAATATAAAAAAGAATCATTCTTTATGGCACGTCCTAAAAGAGAAATAAGTTTACAACAATCAGAACGAAGGGAGTAGTAAAGTACAGATATCGCCGGAGATAAAGAGAGATTGGTACTAACCAATGGCTACCATGAGGAAAATAGCATAAATATAACCAAGCTTAGAAAATGCCATTTGGGGAATCGTACTTGATGTTTTATGAAACTTCTGTGTGACTATATTTCTGTTTTGCAAATCGTAATTTATAGACTCCCCCTCTGCAATATGTTGGCCCCTAGAATTATTAGTAATAGTTCAATAATAGTTTCGTTGTATTCTTATTATTTTATGATCTTTATATTAAGTCTTTCTAATAAAATTTGTCATATTCCATCATTTCTCTCCCATACCCCCCCCCCCAACAAAAAAAAAAAAAGACAATAAAACTAATTTATAAAGTAAGTTTTGGAATACATTAATCATAAAATACAATTATATGTTATTTATGATTGTTATTTTTGGAAGATGCATGTGAGCATCAGAGAAGATGAAGATCCATACCAATTTTTATTTAATAATTGTAATTAAAATATGTTGTTAAAAGTCAACCATAGTATTCTTTATTAAAGTGGTCATGTAGATACTTTTCTTTTAATGCACACAATAAAATATTATTTCAATCTACTATTAGCATTTTGTCATAAGAATCTTCGATTTAATTTTAAGTAATATGTCTTATTATATGCGGTATTATATTTCTGTTTTGCAAATGGTGTAATTTATAGAGCCACCCTCTGCAATATATTGGCCTCTAGAATTGTTAGTAATAGTTTAATAATAGTTTCGTTGTATTCTTAGTATTTTATAAACTTTTTATATTAAGCCTTTCTAGAGATGAATTTTGCAATAAGATTTGTCATATTTTGTCATTTCTCTCTCATGTTTCCCAAAAAATACAATAAAACAAAATTTATTAAGTAAGTTTTGGAATACATTACTCATAAAATACAATTATATGTGATTTATGATTGATACTTTTGGAAAATGCATGCGAGCATCAGAGAAGATGTAGATCCATAATTTTTATTCAATAATTGCAATTAGAATATGTTGTTAAGTCAACCATAGCATTCTTTATTAAAGCGGTCATGTGCATATTTTTCTTTTAACACACACAATCAAATATTATTTCAATTTACTATTAGCATTTTGTCATCAACATTTTTTATTTTAT